GCCACGGCCGGCAGGCGTCTCAGGTAGCTGGCGTAGAAGGCCGCGCCGGTGGTGAGCCCGGAGACCAGCAGCAGGTAGCCGAAGTGGTGCATGGTGCGAGCCACGCGCTGCGCCAGGCCCCCCGAGGGCAGCTGGCTCTTGCTGAGGCGCCAGAGGTCGAAGAAGATGAGCGTGTGGTTGGTGCAGACGCTGCTGAGCAGGACGAGGGCCGCCAGATTGACGAAGGGGAAGTAGGCCATGCGGAAGGCCACTTGGTAAAGAAAGAAGGCAACCAGCAGGGAGCCCAGGGTCCCCAGCAGCACCATGAACGTGAGGAAGAGAGAGCGCAAATAGAAGCCGATGCTGAAGAAGATGGCAGCCAGGCCCAGCAAGGGGTACACCGTGTCCTGGGCCAGGTAGTGCCTCAGCAGCTCCTGCTTGAGGCCCAGGTCCATGCCGGTGACGGCGGTGTAGTTGTCAGACAGCTCCCAGGGCGCGGCTAGGCGGTCCAGGTAGATGTCCATCAGGGAGGCACCCTTTGGGGTGGGCAGGAAGAGCAGGCTGTACTTGAGGGAGGGTACCTGGTAGTCGGTAGTCTGGGGGCTCAGGAAGTCCCGGTCCAGCAGAAAGTGTAGGAGTTGATAGATGGCACTGCTCTGGGAGCACTTGGTGGGGACCTGGGCGCAGCGTGGGGGCTTGTCCTGCCTGGGCCCAAGACAAGAGGGCACCAGGGCACTGCGGTGGTAGTAGGGGGCACAGGCGCGCAGCAGGGCCAGTGTGCGCGCAGCGTCAGCTTGGGTGGTGTCCAGGCAGGATGAGCGGTTGGAGAGCACAGCCAGATAGTTGCCCAGGGACCAGCTGGGACAGCACTCGTTGGCTGCCGTTCGCTGGCACAGAGCCCCGAAGTGGGTGTGGGAGCGGATCTGTAGGGCACACACAGCAGGAGGGAGCTCAGGGCCAGTCCAGGGGCCCAGGTTTCCCCAGCCCTGTCTGAGGCCCTCTCACTTCTTTCAGGCTGCAGGGCAGAGGCAGGGGGCATGTTGACAGCCCAGCAGAGCTGGTTTGTCTCAGAGCGGCCTTGGGCTCCTGGCCCAGATGCCAGCGGCTATATCTTGATTCCATCAAAGGAACCTGGTGATGCAGCCCAGGGCCTCAGCTTGAGAAGCCCTGCCCTAAGGGCCTCTATAGATTACACACCCCAGCTCCGCACTGCCTGAGCCAGCAGTGGGAGTGGAGATGGTGGCCACAGACAAGGGTCCAGGCAGCTGGAAGCAAGCAGTGGAACAGCAGAAGTCAAAACATTCCAGGGTCAAGGTCGCTGCCCACTCCCAGCCCCCTGCCTCTCCTCTGTGGCCTGCTTGAACCCTCCAAGGGCCAGGGCTCTTTCTTTTTCCTACCCCATGCCTTCTTTTTCCTCCCGCCCTGTTGACATCACAGCAGCTGTTCTAGTAGGGAGAGCACTGGCCTGGGAGTCAGAGAACCTACCCTGCCACTAACTGGACATGTGGCCTCAGGCCTGAGATCATGGTGACAACAGGGACTTTTATTGAAAGATTACTGTTGCCAATCATGATGCTATCTTTTTCCAATTTTTTTTTTTTTTTAATTTGACCAGAGAGAGACAGAGAGGCAGAGAGTGAGAAATCACCGCTGTGGGGATTGCCACACCGCAATCCCTTCTCCTCCATTCTCCTCTTGGGATCTTGGGCATGCACGCACACATGCCCTGTGTGTTTAAGTTCGGAACTCGAACCATGGTCAACTACATGGGAGTCCAGCGACATAGCCATTTCGCTAACTACTGGTCCCTCTACACTGTTTTTTATAATTCTTTATTTTATTTTTATTTATTCATTCATTTTTTTTTTTTAATTTGACCAGAGAGAGACAGAGGGTGAGAGAGAGAGAGAAAGTGAGAAAGCAAGCCACCAGGTCCAGGACTTGAACCCTGGTAGGCCATGTGGGAGTGTCCGGCACCTTAACTACCGTGCCACCTGCTGGTTCCCCTCTACACTGTTTTTAATAGCGACTCTTCTTCAGATGCTCTTGAATGTGGTTCTCCATTTAGCATAATCAGACTGGTGCTGCTTGGTAATGGGAGCTGGGGCCTTTAAGCCCACAGTCTTAGTTCCCTGGGCCAGGGTCTCCTCACAACACTTGGGGCGCCTTTTCAGGAGCTTTTGAAAATCTCCAGGTTCTCTTCCAGCACCTATACCTTGGCTCTTCTGAAAACAGCTGACTCTTCTTTTTCCATCCCCATTTAGAGCCTTGTACTAGGCTCAGAATCACTTTCTAAGTAGGGAATCTTCCCCAGTTTGCCCTCACAGGCCTGGCTCGGCTGAATCTCCTCGGGATCAGGTGCCTCGTGCCCTCGATGTCCCCAGGCCCATCACCTCCGCGGTCGGCTCACCTGGTTCTGCTCCATGCGGCACATGGCATGGATGGCGTGCAGGTCCCACAGGCTGCCCGCAGAGTTGGACATGAACACCAGCTGCGCGTAGCTCTTCTCTGCAACACACCCGGCCCAGACCTCAGAGCTCAGCCCTGTGGACCCAGGCCCTGGGGCCCCATGGGGAAGGTGCTTACCCAGGGCCATATGAGGTTCCCATCGTCATAGGAGAATTTAGGAGCCCGAGCCTGCCCCTGTGCCCCAGCAGACCCAGCCTGGCTGGAGTACCTGAGACCTGCCTCCTCCTTCCAGCTGTAACCCAGTTTCCTTAGTTTGAACATGGCCAGCTGGCCACCTTCCCTATCTTTTCTGTTTTGTTGTTGTGATTGTGGTTTTTTTCTTACTTCTTTTTTTGGCCAGCTGGAGCTTGCCAAAGAGAGAGAAACAGACATAGAGAGAGGGAGAAAGCACCTCCCAATGGGATGTGGTCACACTGCCATCCTTTCTTCCCATTTCTCCATCCTGTTGAGATGTTGGGCAGGCATGCAAATGCAACCAGAATAGGTTTTGTTTGTTTGTTTGTTTTGTAAGAGATTTTTTTTCTATAGGGTGCCTGGGCTCGTCAGAGAGACAGAAAGCAAGAAATCATCCCTCAGGGGGGATGACCATGCTGCAATCTCTTCTCCTCCATTCTCTTCGTGAGATTTTGGGCATGCACATGCACGCACATGCGCTCGGCATGTTTTAAGGTGTTGGGTCTGGGACTCGAGCCAAGGCCAGCCATATGGGAGTCCAGCCACGTAATCATTAGGCCATCTGTTGGTCCACAACTACCATCTTTTTAAAGCTGTCAGGGCCAAGATTCGAACCCTATTTGTCCTTGTGGGATCTGGCTACCTTTAACTACTAGGCCACAAGTCTGGTCCCACCTTCCCTTCCGTCTGCCCAGATATGGTGGAGTAGTGCTACGGTCTGAGAAGGTCTCCTTAGATGCATGTGTTGATTTGGGATGTATTTTGAAAGTATTAGAGGAGACAGTCTGATTATGATGTTGGAAGGCAGAACCTTTGGGAAGTGCTCAGACATCAGGGTAGGACCCTCGATTGAGTCCTGGTGGGTTTACGAGGGAGGGAATGGGATGGAGATGTGCTCTGCCCTGCATACTCTGTCCTCGTACCGTGTGACCCCATGTGATTCTGCCAACTACACCGCCATCAGGTGTGGCCCTTGGATCTTGGACCCCTAAACTCTGAACTGAGGACCAGCAGATGGTGTAGAGGTTAAGGTGCTGGGTTCCACATGGCCGACTGTGAGATTTGAGTCCCGGACATGGTGGCTTGAAAAATACATGGGGTGTGTGCACATGGGTGCCCAAAATCCGGACAGGAGAATGGAAGAGAAGAAATTGTAGGGTGGTCATCCCCCCATGGGGGGCAGTTTCTCACTTTCTCTCTCTTTGTCTTTCTGCCTCTCTCTGGTGAATACACGTGCCCTGTAGCAAACTAAACAAAAAAATTAATAACTGTGAATAAACACCTGTTCTTTTTAAATGAACTAGACGCAGGTATTTTTTTCTGGAAGAGGTTTTTGCTCTAGGGTGCATGTGTTTGCCAGAAAGACAGAGAGAGACAGAGAGACAGAAAGTGGGAAATCACACCCCCAGGGGAGAAGGCCATACCGCAATCCCTTTTCCTCCATTCTCTTCTCTCCTCTCAGGATCTTGCACACACACGCACCGGGTGTGAGTTAAAGCCGCCGGGTTCGGGACTCGAACCAGAGTCGACTACATGGGAATCCAGCAACATAGCCATTATGCCAACTGCTGGTCCCAATACAGGTATTTCTATGATTAGCAACAGAATGGACTAGAACAGGTGGGGACCACCATTAAAACCAGGAACTTACCAGGGGGACCACAGAAGAAGCTTTCCTGCCCTCTGTCTTCCAGGGGCTCCACCATCCTGCGAGGCCGGGCAGCACCCTCCTGGGCACTGCCCCAGGAGGCAGGGCTCAGAGTGGTGTGGGGGTTTGAGCTGAAGGAAAGGAAATATCCATGTCAGGGGCAGAGCGCTCAGAGGAGGCCAGAGACCACGCCCCAGGAAGCCCGAGCAAGCCTCTGAGTGGCCTTCAGGGAGGTCAACCAAGGTCCGTGGAGGCCTTGTTCTTTCTCTCCCACCCTCAGTGGAAAGATGGGAACCTGTTACCTATTCAGTTCAAGGTCTGGAGAAAAGGAAAGCAGCCTCCGGGGCCCCGTGAGGGCCTGCAGTGCTCTCCAGACCACTAGCTTGCGGCCGATGTCTGTGTCCCGAGGCTCGAATCCCTGCAGGGAGAGGGCAGAGCAGAGCAGCTGGGGTGGGGACTTCTCTATCTGGACCCCTCTCAGCCCTGTCCCTCTGGTTCCCTGGAGCAGGGTGGGCAGCCTGCTGGCCTGCGTGGTGGGCACGCGTATGCACTCTATACCACCTTCCCAGCTCGCCCACCATTGCACCCTCTCCCCAGCTAGGCCACCCCAACTTTCTGCGTCAGGCTGTGCTGAGGTGGCCAGGCCTGGGGTGCCCCTCCTTCCCCTCGGACCCTCACCAGCAACGGCTTGGAGAAGTCAGGCAGCT